TTTTTTTTTAAGAAGAAAGAGGAAATTTTGTTCACACTTGGTTATCTCGTGTTGTCTTCAATAAAGGTCACTGTAATATCTTTCAGAGTTATTGTCTGAATTCCGATATACATGCTAAAAGGTACAACTTCTTTAAGTTTTGTCTATGAGTGTACATTGGTTCTCTCGTGTGTCTTCAATAAAGGTCACTGTAATATCTTTCAGAGTTATTGTCTGAATCCCGATATACATGGTAAAAGGTACAACTTCCTCAAGTTTTGTCCATGAGTGTAAGTGTTAGAAACCGGGAAAACTTTTGATTTGTAATCTCTCACGCAGTGAACAATCCAGGTTTTATACAGGCCATCTGAAACCATTGTCATTGACGGAGGGTGAGAGGATTTTCCCACTTTGCAACAAATACCTCACAAAATCAGACTTTCTATATCATATTATAAACTGCATTGAATCAAGAAGAAAGGAACTTCTTCTGAAGGCTAAACAGTTCTTGTGAAAGATAGAAGTGCACATGTGAACTGGTGTGAAGACTGGAACAAACATAACCAGTAGTCCAAAAACCGTCAGCTAATACACGCAATCCCATCTGTTTATGGAAACTTGTTAACATAACTAGAACCCATGTTACTATCTATATAGTTACACTTTACTACCCAGCGATGAAATATAGTCGCAGGGCTTGGCTCATCAGTAGTGAACTCTCCCAGCGGTCTCGTCAATTTAATCTACCAGACCGCTTCTTGGAGCTCTAATACTGTTTTGTACGATCCTGATTACATATGCTACACTGAAGAGTGAAACCTGTTATGATATTTTAGCAAACTATGGATATAAGATTTTAGGACAGTAGAATTTCGTATTTGATTATTTTTATTTCTAATTAATGGATGGCGTTTTATTGTTTATAATGAATTAATTTATCCCAAACTGGTATCTTTATTGTTTATGGAAGAGCTTTGCTTGATGCAAATATAAATACAAAAATATTTTACCACAATTAGTTTCTTTTCATTACAAAACGCTAGCTTTCAAGTAATAATCGCTCTTCAACGGGCTTAATAAAACATCGAATATATCTTACAAGAAATATTTACAAATAAATACGCGCGGAGCGTGTATTTTTTTACTTTTTAACAATTTTATCATGCATAGAAATATATATATGATTCTACTGTCCTAAAATATTGTGTACGAGCTTACTTAGTATCGTATAGCTTACTTAAATTGATAAAATTCCACTCTTCAGTGTAACATAGAAAACAACAACAAAAAGCCTTTATTTAGGGCATTCCGCCCCATATAGGATTCGCCGTATTTACAGATCAACAAGAGGAGAGGGAAGAGGAAACATTTACAACAAGATAAAGTTTGTCTAACATTCAGTTACCTATTTACAGATAGGTCATCCTCCAGTATTCTTTGCTCTGCATTCTTTCTCATGCGCCCAGCTTCTGTGCAGAACTTAAAGTATCTAACAATCAGTAATTCATCATCCAGAGCTGAAAAGAGAAGTTGACATATGCGATGGTATCTAAATTGACCAAAGTTAGGGCTTGGGAAAATTTCAGTACGTTTTTCTGTTAAGAGAGGGCATTGGAAGAAACAGTTTAACATATAAAAGCAGAATCGTCCAATATAGTATTAGAGATCTAGAAAGCGGTCTGGTAGATTAAATTGGTGAAACCACTTGGAGTGTTCACCACTGATGATCCAAGCCCTACCAATATACCAGTAAGGACAGTAGAAGTTAGAGTTACTTGCGAAAAGAAACATTCGTGTCTTAATGTATCCATTTGTTATATCTAATCATATTTATAATTCCAACTTACAAAATTCGTATACTTTGGTTAAAACTCACTCGTAGAAAACCATAGCGAAGCCTTAATACCCATCTACTATGCAAATTAAATAAAATATGTAAAAAATACGATATAGAGCGCCATCTATTAACGAAAATTGAAACTATTTAACGCTAACATTTTCCTTTTTATACTAAACAAGAAGACCCTGTTTGTTCTTCGAACAAAATGATACAAAAAAAAACGATATTATCGAACATTTTAGATTTCAAATATTATGTAAAAGTGATAGCAACGTTTCGGCCTAGCCTTGTAATAATATAAATGAGTTTTAAAAATTGTAAAAAAAAAAATGCATCGGCTGGGAATCGTACCCGGGCCGCCCACGTGGCAGGCGAGCATTCTACCACTGAACCACCGATGCTTATAAGAAATGGCCATATTTGGGTATTTATTCCATTCACAAAAGCAAACGATGACAGAATTGATTGTTGATTACTCTGATACTTGTATATTTTATAAAAACAACTTGTTCACTACGGGGCTCTGGCACATTTGTAATTGCAAAGTCGAACTGCTTTTCACATGTGTAGACATGTGGTGCACTTACAGTAAAAACAGTCGCCTACTTCTATCCACCATTATTATAATAGCTTGTACCACGTGTACTAGGGATAAGCAAAAAAAACTTTTTCATTATTCTTTCAATAGATACATTTTCCTATTAAATTTTTCTATCGAACACAAAAAAACAGTAAACAGTTTTGTTTCATTTTTAATAAAAGAAATTTCGCTTTTAAATAGTTTCAAAAATTTTAATAAAGTCTTATTTTTAGTTGTATTCATAAAATATCTGTTGAATTTTCAAATCAATAGACCATTTGACCTTTTTGTAACTTACACCAGCTTAATCTAGCATCGTAGGAAATAAATGACCTTTTAATATTTATAGAAAACTGATATGGGTGAATGAATTTTTATAAAAAGGTCAACTTATATATTAAGTATATCCACTCCAATAATTTGATATTTTTAAAATAAATCTCCTACTTATATTTTTATAGCTATGGGTATTAGTTTTTATATTGGCATTCTCTTTTTCAAATATCTATTTTGGAAATTGAAAATCACAGTGTTATTTTGGAAGATATTTTTAATGTGGATTTTTTTGGGGATGAATTTTTTTCTTGCTTTGTTATGTTAAGGAATTATTAGGATGTATTAGAGAATAGATGTGAACTATACTTATTGATATAACTTAAGGAAGTGGAAAGTCTGATGTCACCTATCGTCTGGTTTTGTTTTTAGGAGACAGAGGCAATTTTGTTCACACTTGGTTATCTCGTATGTCTTCAATAAAGGTCACTGTAATATCTTTCAGAGTTATTGTCTGAATCCCGATATACATGCTAAAAGGTACAACTTTTTTAAATTTTGTCCATGAGTGTATATATGTGTGTCTTCAATGAAGGTCACTGTAATATCTTTCAGAATTATTGTCTGAATCCCGATATACATGCTAAAAGGTACAACTTCTTTAAGTTTTGTTCTCACTTGGTTATCTCGTGTTTGTCCAATAAAGGTCACTGTAATATCTTTCAGAGTTATTATTTGAATCCCGATATACATGCTAAAAGGTACAACTTCCTTAAGTTTTGTTCTCACTTGGTTATCTCGTGTGTGTCCAATAAAGGTCACTGTAATATCTTTCAGAGTTATTATTTGAATCCCGATATACATGCTAAAAGGTACAACTTCCTTAAGTTTTGTTCTCACTTGGTTATCTCGTGTGTGTCCAATAAAGGTCACTGTAATATCTTTCAGAGTTATTATTTGAATCCCGATATACATGCTAAAAGGTACAACTTCCTTAAGTTTTGTTCTCACTTGGTTATCTCGTGTGTGTCCAATAAAGGTCACTGTAATATCTTTCAGAGTTATTATTTGAATCCCGATATACATGCTAAAAGGTACAACTTCCTTAAGTTTTGTTCTCACTTGGTTATCTCGTGTGTGTCCAATAAAGGTCACAGTAATATCTTTCAGAGTTATTATTTGAATCCCGATATACATGCTAAAAGGTACAACTTCTTTAAGTTTTTTTTTCCATTAGTGTATATATGTATGTCTTCAATAAAGGTCACTGTAATATCTTTCAGAATTATTTTCTGAATCCCAATATACATGCTAAAAGCTACAACTTCTTTAAGTTTTTTTTTTCCATGAGTGTATATATGTGTGTCTTCAATAAAGACCCCTGTAATATCTTTCAGAGTTATTGTCTAAATCCCGATATACATTCTAAAAGGGAACAACCTTTTTGAATTTTCTTCACACTTGGTTTTCTCGTGTGTATTCAATAAAGGTCACTGCAATATCTTTCAGAGTTATTGTCTGAATCCTGATATATATGCTAAAAGGTACAACTTCCTTAAGTTTTGTTCACTCTTGGATATCTCGTGTGTCTTCAATAAAGGTCACTGTAATATCTTTCAGAGTTATTATCTGAATCCCGATATACATGCTAAAAGGTACAACTTCCTTAAGTTTTGTTCACATTTGGTTATTTCGTGTGTGTTCAATAAAGGTCACTGTAATATCTTTCAGAGTTATTGTCTGAATCCCGATATACATGCTAAAAGGTACAACTTCCTTAAGTTTATTCTATGAGTGGATATCAATAAAAAGAATCTAAACAGCAAATCTAAAATTGGGTTTAGCTTTGAAATATCATCTATGGACTAAGATATTTCAGAAGTTAGCTATGAGAGGGTTAGAGAGAAGAGCTATCCCTGATTTAGCAAAACGGTAAATGCATCTTTCAATCCTTCATCCAACAAAATGGTGACTTCAGATTGAGGAAATTCTTCTTAAAGTGATTTAAATATTCTGGACATTAATTAAACAATTAAAAAAGGTTTCTGGAGATGAGTTACTCTTTATTTAAACCGTCTCAAGATTTCAGACATCTCTGTCCTTCTGCAGGAGAACATCTACAATGAGTAAAACGTGTCCTGATGCCAAACTATAATAACTATAATAAAACTAATATAAAACAACACTTGAAGTTACGTCGCATGAGTTTCTTTTCAACGAAAAATCAAAATTTTATTTCAAGGTGAAATATTGACTATTTCTAACCTTTTTGGATGAGGTATGAAAGGGTGAATTATGAAGAGTAATAATGAACGGAAAAATAAAAGTGTCCAGGGATGGGAATCGAACCCACAATGTTCCGCTTACCGGGCAGATGTCATGTCAACTAGTCTACCCTGGACGTATTTTTCCGTTCATAAATAATACATAAAGTAACTTATAATATAATATAATGCACTGCGGCCTGTGATTGTAAAACAACACTTGAAGTTACACCGCATGAGTTTCTTTTTAATGAAAAATCAAAATTTATTTCAAGATGAAATATTGACTATTTCTAACCTTTTTGGATGAGGTATGAAAGGGTGAATTATGAAGATTAATGATGAACGGAAAAATAAAATTATTGTAGTTTGGCATCAGGCGTTTTATTTATTGTATATATTCTCCTGCAGAAGAGCACAGATGCCTGAAATCTTGAGATGGTTTAAATAAAAAGAAACTCAATTCTGGAAACCATTTTTGATAGTTTAATTAAAATTCTCACTTCAACAAACCTTCTGTTCTAATTTGAAGGTTTAAACATGGTATTTTGGTTTATATATATTATAAATAAAGATGAATGAGATTTTCTGCTTGAATTTAGATTATGTTGAAGATTATGGCATGGAAACGCAGTCGCGGTTGAAATCTTTAAAGTATGATAATGAAAAATAGTTTTGATCAGTAATTTAATTGAGTTAAAGGAATATATAAAAACAAATTGATAAAAGTACTGCCTGGCTTGAGACGTAAGAATAAAAAAAATGAAAAACGTATTTACATAATGTACAAAAGGTTGAGCCGGCCATCGGGGAAGAACAACAACGAGTTTTTATAGGGGAAGCATGACCTCTGGCGGTCGATTTAACAGAGTGTTTGGATCTATGAAATATAATTTTAAATAGAATAATCTTTTAATATAACATATATACACTCAAAAACACAAAGTCTTTATTAAGACACCAGTCAGATTCTCCTCTCTCATTGCCGGCTTACAACGATATCCTCACGATGATCAATCACCATCATGTAGTGGAAAAGATAACGATAAATCTAAGTTATTTTTTCTGTTTACTGCTTTGTAAAAGTTATATAGGGACAGAGCAACCATTCAACTTGATATGACGCTGGTTAAAATACTTTGTACTGAGGTAAGTTGGCTGTCGTTTACTTTTGAGAAGAACATCTCTCTTTCTTCGCTAATATACTGGCACTCATAGATATAATGAGATATTTCTATTCCTTTTTTTTTTGCAAAGATGGTATACTGCATCCTCCTCACTGGAGATTTTGATATGGTTTTCCTGAAGAAAGGAATGGAGTATTCTCTGTTGTTTTACAATGCACTAGCGCGCCATCTGTTATCAAAGTACAAAACTATTCTAGACGCGTAATATCCTTTTTAAAATAAAACAATTTCTACTGCCCTTACTGCAATGGAAAAATTAATCTGTTGTATAATATAGCATTTTACTGAACATAGAAGATCGCTAAGAAAATAGCTTTCAGTCAAAAATGAATCTTATATACATTCCAATTTGTTTGTTGCATGTGTGAAGGACCCAATCATCTAGAATGTATATATTTATTTGAAGTGTTAAATATAAAGCTAATTTTTAATATTTTAACTTCCAGGATCCTAAAGCGTAAAGCCAATAGATGATGTATTATTATAGAAATCAAAATCTGTCTGAATATTTATATATACATATACTATAAACAATAGAAAAAATAATAAGTGGGTCAGGTGTCAATATTAAAAATAAAAAAGGCATATCCTGATCAGGAGCACATGTGCTTTTTAGATGGCAGAGCACCATCTAGTCGAACAGAAATCAACTAAACATTGATTTAACCTGTTCCCTGATATTTGGCCAACCTAATCGTAGATGGCTTTTCTTGATTTATCAAGAAATTGGGTTGGCCAAATATCAGGGAACAGGTTAAATCAATGTTTAGTTTATTTCTGTTCCACCAGATGGCGCTCTGCCTTCTGAAAAGCACATGTGCTCCTGGTCATACATATACATATATATGTGTTTTTAAATATCGAATAATCCATTTATGATAATTTAAAAAAGGGCATATTTTGGATCAATGAATTTATTAAAATTCAATATTTCCACGAGGCTGTTCGCCTATCTTCTAGGAAAAATTCAAACGCGGATAATAAGCTTACAAGGTTTTTAAATTTTTCCTAGAAAGAAGATAGGCGAACAGCCTCGTCGAAATATTGAATTTTAATAAATATATTGATCCATAAATATGCCCTTATATTAATATATATGTATATTTCTGAAAATAGAGCAATTCATACTTAAATCATTAGATAATTAAAAGAGGCATATATTGGATTGGATAAAATATTTATTTGCCAATGTTTCGGTTAGCTGAACGCCAAACCTTTATCAAGGCATTTCATTGTTGTATACACAAACTCAGCGCCGCATAGTGTTATAATAATCAATGTGATAATATAACATCAACTGTAATGCAAACTGTAGGTAAATAAATATTTTATTTATAAACGAAAACAATAAAGCATCAAGGGCTGCGTATCTTTATTAAAACGACAATTTACGAGCTTTCGAGCACATACGCCTTTCTACAGGAAATAATATAATAATAATCCAACCTAGTTTGAAATATAATTTATATACATATAGCTATTGTTTTGCATATCTGCTTAACTAGAATAATATTAAAATGATTGAATTTACATGTAGGTATAATAATTTGGAAAACTAATTCTAAAATATATGAGGTAATATGATACATTAAAGTAAACTTATTTTGTATTTTACAAATTTTACAACTTACTTTATTCAATCAAATATATGCCTTTTTATTATCTAATATATATAAATGGCTTTTCTTGATTTATCAAGAAATTGGGTTGGCCAAATATCAGGTAACATACTGAATCAATTTTTAGTTGATTTCTGTTCCATCAGATGGCGCTCTACCTTCTGAAAAGCACATGTGCTCCTGGTCAGAATATGCCTATTTTATTTTTAATATATATATATATATGTAGTACCCCAGTGCTGATTCTGAGAAAACGCTGCCACATGAAAGCTTGCCTCGTTTTACATAATAAAAAAAGAAACTCTTTGTATGAGTGTGCATCTCTGTTGGGCATGAATAATGAAAATTCCAAATGCAGGTTGAGAAATTAACGCTGACTTGAGATCTTCAAATGTACGTTGCTCTTCTCGGTTCCAATTAACTTATAAGTCTTTCATCAAAAGGTCATTCAAGGGTTGGGCTACGGGGAGCATAAAACTCCTTTAAAAAAAACTTTCTACGTTCAAACTACCTTGTTAAAAAAGAGATTTTTTTAAAGAATGTTCCGAATAGAAAGAGATGAAATTATTTTTCGAAATTTACTTCAACACTTTGATCTTGTTCTAATAAAACTCCTTGTTACTTCTCCAATTGTTTCTTCCAGTTAGGAGAAAAAATATTCTATAATTTTATCAAAGTTTAATTGATTGATGGTTTTTCTTTTTTTACAATTTCTACTCAGATTTATACTTTCTATTGGATTTTTTTACAGAATTCATTAAAGCTGTTAAAAAAACTTTCTTAATGAACTTTCGTTTTTAAATTTATTTTTCTTTTCCGATATCTTTCTCTTTATTGGATTAATTACAATTAAACTATTAATGAAAATACGTTTTTTTTTTTATTCTAGTTAATTTACTTGATGGTTAATATTTCCTATATATTAATATAATAGATGGGATTTTATATCTTGTTATAAGATTTTCCCAAAAGTTCGTAAACACTTGCAAAAAAAATGGAAATACCAATATTATTCGCCGTTATGTATTATCGTAAAGTTAGAGGCTGCCTGGCCGGCATTCATTTATCTTGAAAATAAAGATACTTCTGCCAGTAAATCTTTTTTATTATCTCGACGTTTCGATAAAAATCTTTTCTCCTCGTCCTTTTGTTTGTTCCTAACGAGGACAAAAGATTTTTGTTGAAACGTCGAGGTAATAAAAAGATTTACTGGCCGAAGTATCTTTATTTTCATGAGTTATGTATAATGTCTTTGTACAATATAATGCACTGCGGCCTGTGATTGTAAAACGACACTTGAAGTTACACCGCATGAGTTTCTTTTCAACGAAAATCTTTTTTTTTTTTTATTTCAAGGTGAAATATCGACTATTTCTAACCTTTTTGGATGAGGTATGAAAGGATGAATTATGAAAAGTAATGATGAACGGAAAAATAAAAGGGTCCAGGGATGGGAATCGAACCCACAATGTTCCGCTTACCGGGCAGATGCCATGTCCACTAGGCTACCCTGGACGTATTTTTCCGTTCGTAAATGATACATAAAGTAATTTATAATACAATATAATACACTGCGGCCTGTGATTGTAAATGTCTTTGTATTATTTATAAAGTAATTGTATTATTATGTATTCGCTGTAATAATATTATTCGCCAAGTAATAAGAAAAATAATGTTTTAAAAAAACACGAACTTTTGGTACAACCTTATATTATAGCTGCCTTTTTTGTAGATATTTTTCTCAACATTTGACTAATCTGGCTGAAATTTTTAACAGGATATAGGGTTATAGTTAAAAAGAGTGATTTCATTTTAAACGGAGGAAAATTCAATTTGAACCAAAAATTGGACTAATTTACTTATTTTTTAGTCAAATTTGATTATGATAATAAATCTGTATGGTTATATTAATTGGCAGAAACAAAATCATTTTGGGGAATACACACAAATTCACTCAAGAAGATAATGTCAATATGAGTTCTTGAACTTCTTTATGAACACGACCTCCAAAATCTTGTCTAATTTAGACTAAAGGGATAAGTTAAAAAAAAAGTTCAATATAATTAAATAATAATAATAATTATTATATATATATATATATGTCATAGTATTCAGAAAATAATTGTAGTGTAGAAAATCAAGTCTTAGTATATCTGGAGATGTAAAAGTATTTATTGATGACGTCACGGCGACCAGTCGACAATTATTAACCAAACTATCTACAGCTAGAGAATATCGAGCAAGCAAGCTAGGTAACTAAAGGATGATTTTACAAAAATGAATTTAAAAAAATCTGTTTCACATATTTCATTGAATAATTTTATAAATACA